TCTCTACTCAGGGAGGAGGTCTTACTTTTCGCCCTTCTCAACTATAAGAGATTGGTCTGTACTCTTTCTAGGGGTGTGTGGCCACAGATGCCTTCTGAAGGAGTCAGGAGACATGTTGTTGTTGCTTGGGAGAACAAAGACTCACGTAGCCCAGACTGGCCTTGAACTTCTGATTCTCCTATCCCAGCGCCTGAAGTGCCAGCATTACAGGTGTGCCCCACCATGCCTGGCTTTTTATCCCTCCCCACACTGAGTCTTTTCTGGGAAGTCTGCTCTAAAGCTCACCCCTTGGGGAAAGGAGCTATTTGGGGTGAATGTAGAGCATCCCAAACACACCCTCCCGACTCACCCCAGGCTCCAAGCATGGCATCCTGCATACTCCTGCCTCAAGGAGCAGTGCTGAACTAGAAAACTCCAAAGGCAGATTTTAGACTTAGCTTTCTCTGACAGTGTTGAGCAGAGGGAGGACCATGGGCTGGGGTAGAGATGGGTTCCCACTTGAATGAGGGTCCCACAGGGATTCGGCCCTTGCTCTCTGCTAGTAAAGAGCATTGCAGAGTGGCCAAGGTTTGGCGTTTCTGGGGTCAGATGGGAGAAAAACCACCCTCCCATCACTGCCATCCCTTCCACCCCTCTGTACCTCAAACTCCCCCACCCCCAGGAGCGTGGAAGGACTCCAACCCGCCTTCATTTATATGCCTTAAGAATTAGGCATATAAAGCTGTTTCATAATGCAATAAAATATGCAGCTATACCCTTACAGAAAAGTTACAGTCCCCGGCTGGGCACGAGCCCATTTGTTCAAGGCTGAAAACTAATTCAGCTCAGAGGACAATGAAGCCAGAGCCAGCACAAAGCAGGCTCTGCTGTAACAGACTGTGAAGTCTGTGACCTCAAAGGGACATCCGTGCAGGTTTCAGAGTGGAGATGGAGAAATTGGGGCCCTTGGAGGGACCAAGAAACCTGAGGCAGTAAACACAGAGCTGAAGAGCTACACAGCCTGCGGTGGGTGACGCACACCCTTGCTTTCCTGGGCCCTGGGAAGGTCCCAGCCATGTCACCTGGGCACAGAGAGCCCTGGAAAGCAAGAGGAAGACAATGGGCCAAAGCCAGACATTTGCAGCCGTGGAGCCCTGGTTGCTGCACCTCACATGTGTGCGTTATTCTTGCGTATTCAGCTCTTCTGTATAAAATGACACTAGCCCTGCAGATGTAGACTGGGGGGCAGACCTGAGAGGTGGGCTCGGACACTTTTAGAGGCAGGCCATTATGCAAATGCAGGTGCCACTTTTTAGAGCGACTGAAAAGCAGGCCTTTCCTTTTGGGCTTATTTTGCTTAATAATGACATTTTTAAGTGGCAGTGTTTTGTGTTCGTTGTCTCAGGCAGCTGCTCTGATTACTTGATCACACATTGCTTAACAATCTGAAGAGGGGGCTGAGAGCCCTTTCCAGTGTTCCTGACGTGTGGGGTTCTGCTCAAGCTCCCGGAAGGACATTTGAGACCATGGCTCCTATTGCCCAGCTCAGTGGCTCAGGGCCATGCACGGTTGTCATGTAACAAATGAATCTGGACCAATCACAGACTATATGCCTGGCCAGGGAACTGACTGCAAACGCAATTTCTTGTTGGCAGCTGTTCCGCGGAAAACACCGCTCTGGCAACATTTTGGGTCAATCAGTTCAAATAAAATACATTCTTCAGATTAACTTCACCTGTTTCTGCTTAGGCTTTTCCTGTGGCTACTAGAAAATCAGCAGTCAGGCATATAACTCATGTTTGCTCTCCTCCACGCGGCGCTGCCACCGCCACTTAGAAGCCGGGGAGAGAGATGGTCTCAGTCAATGAAGCCGGTTCAGGAGGAGTCCCCAGGTGCCCACGACATCCGTGAGCACCCTGTAGTTCCAGTGCTGCTACCTTCGCAACAGGCCCACCAACCAGGTACTGACGTCATGTGTTACAATGAAGGAAACCAAGGTACATGGAAGCAAGCAATCTGCCAAGACCACCTGGGCAGGAAACAGCAGCCCTAGGGCTCAGCGCACTGCTCCATCAGTGCACGGCCCAGGCGGACAATAGAGGCCGCCCATAGACCAGACCTGGAGCACCAAGGAGGCAGTCACATCAGGGAGCCAGTGCTTAACACGCCCCCTCCACCACCGCCACCAACAAGCTGCAGTGTCTGGGTCAGGGTGGCTGAAACGTCCTGGAGACATGCAACATGATCACTATTGAGGATCCAGCCCTTTATACTCTGAAATGCTCCCCCCAGCACACAGCTGCTCCCACAAGATGACACTCTCCCCAGCTGCTGCCCCATGCCCTCCCAGGGCGGTCTGCTTGTGTAATGGGCAAACGTCACTACCAGTTCCACAGCGACCAGGAAATATGCCTTCCAGGGAAAGAGGAAGAAAGGCAGGGGGAAAAGTGTAGAAAATTTATTAAACTCGAGCCACTGGGACCAAACGGCAACTTAAAGATTCAGACTCAGCCTCGTTCCCTGTAATTTACGGTTCAGGTTTGCAGTAACGGCAAGGTTAGGGATTAAGGGGGCTCAGGGTGAATGCCGTGGAGGAACAGCTTCCGGCCGAGCAAGGCTACATGGTCTCCAACTTACATTCCTACGAGAGCAGTTCCAGCTTATCCTGGAGAAAGAGACCAGTGGCAAACCAGAAGGGGCAGAGGAAGAGGGAGGTGGGTACCCAGGTTCCAGGCCAGGCTGATCACATGTGAGTCCTTGAGATTGAAAGGCATCCCATGAACCACAGTACACAGGCTACCTCCAGGATAGCAGCTTGGAAAACATGCTAGCCCTAAAATATAAGGATATCTCATCCCTAGATACACAAAACCTACAGGGTCCTTGTCCTTCCAAATTCCAGGCTGTGCCCACCTGAGGGCACTTTTCCAGGAGACACAGGATGAAAACTTAGGAGAGACCTCAGGAGAGCTGCTCCCGGCACTGGCCCAGACACAGTTTCCTGGCCTCTATAGGATCACCCAATTGGAGGAGAGGTTAGGGCAAACTTAGAGTCAAAGTTCAGCATGCCACTCACTAGCTGAGTGACACAAACCAGCTGCAGCCTCCCTCTGGGCTCATTTCCCAGTCTGTGAAGTGGAGGCAGCAGAAGGCTAGAGTTTACAAAGCATGAGAGGGGAAGGGCATCGTGCATGGTCCCAGCAAGAAGAGCTAGCGAGCACTGCCCATACTGTAGTCCCTTACAGCGCCACCGACGCCACACCAGATACACCAGGCACGTACTAAGGGCTGGAGTCTCAGACACAGGGCCTGACCTCAGAACCCTCCTGGTTTCCGGGAGACATTTAACCACCTGACCACTGAGTCTCTAAGATAGCAAATAGAGGCGCAGGTGCTGTGGGTAGCTCACACAAGGCTTCCCACAGCGAGGGCACCTAGGATAACCCTGAGCCCAGCACATATTCCAGACTGCAACACCAGGGCAGAGGCGCCATGCCCTGAGGATCTCCCTTGTGCTATGCCACCAGCCTGAATCCCTTTCCCCCAGTTCTCTGTACCCACATGGTGTTCTGCCTGCACCTGAGTGTTTCAAGCCCCTCTCTAATCCTGGAGAGAGGTCAGAGTCACAAATAGGACCCAGCAGGCAAAGGACTCAAGGTCTTGGATGACTTTCACGAACTCATTTCCGGCTTAGTGTACTCCCTATAGCCCAGGAGGATTCCACAGATGTCTGAAGGAACTCTGGGCTTCCCACCCATGGGAGCATCCCAGGCCTCCTGGCAACCCATTTCGGAATTCCCTCTGCCTCTCACAGAACTGCAAGACAGGGCTGCCAGGCTAAGACAGACAAGCTAAGCTATGAATGAGTTCCAGGTATGTCTGACCGCTGTGTGTGGGCTGCATGGGGCCCAGAACGGCTATGAATGAAGCCCAACACAAATCATAAACTTGTTTCAGACAAATAATGGGGGGGGGCGGCGCTCATGAGCATTAACTTTGTAGGTGACAGTGACCCATCACAATATCCCAAGGTTAGACCATCTAATAGAGACCCTGCAAACACACCATGCTCCATCTCTGGAGACCCCACAGATTGGGGGGTGATGAGTGCAGATTGGGGGTGGGGAGGTGAGTGCAGAAAACCCCTTAACTGCAGGTGCTCAGAACACGCAGCCCCAGCACATCTGATTCCTTTCTGAGCTATTGTCCACACTGAGACAATAGGAGGGAGAGAGATAGCCAGTCTCCACAGAAGAAACACATTTCTCAGAATGCGATAAAACTGAGGACAGCAGTTTACCAGGAGACCCAAAGGAACCTCAAGCTTGGGAGAAAAGCAGACACACAGGCCAGAGGCTGCCAATAACAAACTAGGTCCTGGGCAGAACCAGCCCCTCCCAGCCAGGGCCCCTCCCAGCTTCTCACAGTAAGTCTCAGGGTGAGCTATTTCCCTTCCTGGACAGAGAGCTGGGTAATCCCACACTGACCACATGATCCCATTCATATGACCACAGAAGGCTGTAGAGCTAGGCCAAAGGCTCCGTCATCCCTGTGGGGGAAATGACCCAACTCGGCCTGGCCTGTATGTAGTAGAGAGGGGAAAAAAAATCCTCAGAGGAATTAAGCAGAATGGGGCCACTAAGAGATGGGGAACCAGCTCTCCCCTGCAAGCTACACCCTAATCAGGGGGCTGTAAGTATGGCACCCAAAGGCCAGGAAAGAGGAGCACAGGAACACCTCACCTGTCCGGTGCCACTCCCAGCACCCCCACAGAAGGAAACCTTCCAAGAGAAAGGCCACCAACCATGACCAACAGATACCAGGCGGCCGGGCAGCCTTCTAGAAGGCAGAGGGTACACAGCAAGCATTGTAACTCAGCCACGCGGAAACCCCAGCTTCTGGCAGGGACACCAGAGAGAGGACAGCCAAGGCTGCCGCTGCCTTGAGAGCAGCTTGTTCAGCTGCTGAGCCTGGGGCTCCTTCCTCGCGTCCGCCCCCACCACCGGCCTTCCTCTACTTACTCGGCCAGCTCTTCCAGGCTTCGGTAGACATCGTCATCATTCTCGGCTGTCTCCTCTGAGGGAAAAGGCCTGCAGAGAGAAGGCAGAAGTGAGGACGGTGGATCTCTACATCCCTGCCACCGTGCGGGGTGCGGGCCGGTCCGCAGGCCACCCTAGACCCCACCTGACAGCGAAGCATCCCGGCTTGTCGGCGTCTTCCACCATCCTGCATGACAGACCCAGCCCTCTAGGTTGGTGGACCCAGGGGCGCAGTTCCTGGGCCATGGGTGAGTCGGCCCTCAGCTGGTCCCCAAGCCTCCCTACCCCATATTGAGGATATGAAGGCATATGAAGGGTCTAGTCCAAGGGCTTTTGTCCTCTGTCACTACACTGCCATTATCTCCACAACAGTCATACTCTGGAGGGCTATAGGAAAAGTATGGGGGCCTCCCAGGATACCTTGAGCTACAACACAGGGTAGGGAAGTAGCCCGTCCTGGTTCCCCCAAGGAGGGAAGCCTAGAAGGCTGCCCAGTTACCTCCTGCTCTTCAGAGCCTGTGAGGACAACAGCTGCTCCCCACCGGGACCCAGTGAAGATAGGAAAGGCCCTAATGAGCTCCAACCCATCATGGCCACCCATCCACAAGGGCGTATGGTCAATCCTGTGTCCTCCTATGACAGTACCTTGGGAGCAGGAGCTGTGTAGAGATACGGCCCTGAAGGGCACCACTGGACAGCTGCAATCCCCAAGGCACGTGCCACACTACAGCCTTTAAGTCACCACATCACAACTCCATTAGCAGCAGCCTCCCTAATGACCGTTCCCTAAGTTGCCCTATACCTTGTCAGTGTAAGGTTCTAGCCCCTACTGGGGGGAGGGGCTTCATCTTACAGCCATCCCCGTGATACCATCTCCTCTTTGGGATTCCCCCACCAAGAAAAACTCCACTCAGGGAGAGTGACAACGAACTCCGTGCAGTCAGATCCCAGGGATGCTTCCAGCCACTGCCACCTCCTCCTCCTCCTTCCCCCAGGTAACCACAGCTTTATAATTCACTGTCATCAAACTGGTCATCCTCATGTCTCCTTAATGGCCTCCTGCTTCAGCCCCAGCCCCCACAGCTTATACCCCACCAAGCAGCTAGAGCTCACGGTCAAGACACGGGCTGGCCTCATCTCTTCCGGGCTTCGGCATCCAGCAGCTCCCACCTCCCAGAGACAGAACCTATCCCAACTGAGGCACCATTTTACCAGCCAACACCTGCTCTTGTAAACCAGGACATGCTCAGCTGGTGGAGAGCCTCAGTGGGAGAGGCCCAACCAGGAACACCAACGTCCCCGCCACTCTCTTCTAGGCACCCTACCGCAGTCCTCCACCTGAGGCAGACCCTGTCTGCTTGCTTCTGGGTCCGCAGCCCCTGCAGCTGCAAGCAACAGAAAAAGGAGGAGCTGTCACTCACCTTGACCCTCCCCGCCATGACCCTGGGGAAACTATATTGGCAGATCAAAACTGGGGAGCAGGGTGCAGCTCAGAGTGTGGGGTATGGGACTGGAGTGAAGGGAGTCATCCTGTGTCACACCCCCACCCCCATTTCCTGCAGCCAAGTCTGGGAAAGCTTTTCACAGCCTAGGGACAGCCGGCTGGGAGTCCTTTACCTATCTCAACTTGAGATGTTTTATTATTTTTTTTTCCCATGAACATCTTACTAGGCTGTGGTCGGGCATCTCTGTTAACTCTGTGTCCTCAAGACCCATCTCAGAGGGTAAAAGAGTGGGCTGAGCCTCTAGGAAGTGTCTCTATCGACAGGAAAGGCTGAGGAGGTATGGGTACGTGGAGAATGCCCATGAAGTTTCAGAGACTTGGAGCCATGCCAGTGCCCACTGCAGGGCCTGTGGCCCAGGAGTGTGTAGCTGAAACACACATGCTAAGCAGAGATGGCCTCCAGGGGTGAGGATCCCCAGTCTGAGGAAAGAACTGTATGCCTTTAGGGATTTGGAGAGGACACAGAGGAATTCAGAACATGCCATTGCCAAAACATGCCTCTTCTGACATACTGGTTACTTTAAGCTAAAAGAAATAGAATTAGCCAAGGCAGGAAAATGCTCTTGACCTGTCCAACTGGGTGAGATAAGAGACTATGTGTAGCTATTTCCTCTGAATGGAAACGGTCCTTCCTAGAGAGGAAGTGGGCTCCTAAGACTAAAGAAAAGGAAAGACGCAAGGCCCAGGAAGTGAACAAAGCAGAACAAAAGTCACTGACAGGAAGTTTCTGAAAAGTAAAAAGATTTACAAGGCCCCTCCCCGATGTTGCATAAGTAGTGAGAGGCTAGAGAGATGGCTCAGCAGGTAAAGGCATTTGTCACCAAGCCTGACGACCATAATTCAATCCTGGGGGACCAAATGGAGAAAAGAGAACGATCTCCTGAAAGCTGCCCATTGAATAATAATAATAATAATAATAATAATTTTAGTGATAAGTAGTAACAGTTGCTGGGGAGAGGCTACCCTCAGACCAGCTGAGCTGACAACAGGACACAGCTTTTGTGAGTGCTGGGAGGTCTTCTCAACAGCACAACCGCCCTTGGATCACCGACTCCTGTGGGTGACCCCAGTCATCTCATCTGTCACTGGCACCCATTTGGGGTGAGCAGGCGTCTGTCCACATTTCCCCAGAAAACTTACACAATGGGAAAACAATCTTCATTTTACAAAAGAACTCACGCTGGGAAAGAGAATGTGGATGGGGAAGGAGGGCGGTTCTAGGAGAGGGCCGCTCAGCTCTCGCCACCTGAGGACTCCATCAGCAAAGCAAGGGTGGCTTTATTCTCCAGACACTCCTCTGGTCCTTTCCTAGACCCACCCACTCACCCCGTTTTGTCTTAAAGCTCGGGGTGATTATGCAAACTTTGACCATAGACTCCTTATCTAATCTCACATTGTTGTGAGATATCTGAACAGGTGTTCCAAACAAATTGTTTCGCTTGAAGGGGAAAAAAAGGATAACCCTGTTTCTCTCATTAATCCGTTTTACACCAATTTAACACTAGGCCAGCCCAAGAACCTAGAAGGAGCTGAAACAGCGATGCCACCCTCCACCTGCTGCCCTGTCCTGGGAGGAGGAGGAGGAGAGCACACACTGCTCTGCAGGAGTGAAGCACAGGCCGCTCCCCTGGAGTATCCAAAAGGCCATAGGGGAAGCAGATCAAAGGCAAGAGAAGGCAGCCAGGACCTTCAAAAGCCATAGGCCAAATCTACTCATCTCCAAGAGACAAAGGTGTCCCTTTAATTAAGGCAGGCATCCCCTTCAGGCCCCAGGTGCATGTTCCAGCAGGAATCAGCTACAAATGGGAGGCCCAGCTGGGGACTGACACTGGCTGGGATCCCCTCCTTGCCTGGGGGACAGCTGACATTTTCAGTGTATGATGATTCAGCAGTGATGGGCCCAGTTCAACACTTCACATCCCCATCCTTATAGAGCCACCCCCGCTCAGAGTAACTGCCACGCCAGCCAGCTTGCTTTTTCTGCAGGTTGAACTTTTTATTTTTAAATACTTACACTGGGGGCAGGGGGCTCATAGAGATCTGCTTGCCTCTGCCTCCCAAGTGCTGGGATTAAATGTGTGCCCTGGTAAAAATATTTATTTTTAACTGATAAGAGCGCACGCTTGTGGAACAGCATACAGCGTGTCGGGACGCTTTTTCAAATAAGGATAAAGTTACATCTATAGCGCGAAAGGAAATATCAGTGGTTAATCCTGAGTGTTAACTTGACCAGATCGATTACAGAATCATCTAGAAAAAAGGGAAGCAGACCCTGGGGTGTCTCTGAAGGTGGGTGGTGCTGTCCCACAATCTGGGGGGCTGGATGGAGTAATAGTGGGAGAAAGGGGAGCGAGCCTGCAGCGAGGTATATTCTCCGTGTATGTATGTGTCTCTGTCTCTCTGTGTACATCTTCTCTGTGTCTCTGTCTAGGTCTCTCTCTCTCTCTCTCTCTCTCTCTCTCTCTCTCTCTCTCTCTCTCTCTCTCCTCTGCTCCACCATGCCCTCTCCACCACAATGGGCTAAAACTTGCAAAACCATGAGCCAAAACCAGTCCCTCCACGGTTGTTCCTCTCAGATACTCGGTCACAGTAACCAAAGTCAGACAAGCACCATAAACTCTTATTTATGAGAAAATAAAGTTTCCCTCATACATAACATAAATGAAAAATTTTAAAGCCCCATTAAATCCTACAAAAGTGTGATGTGTATAGAATGACATGGTGGGAAAGGGCTGGGGTGCAACACTTAATGCTGAATGCAGATCGACAGGGGAAAGTCCTGTAGGACACGGCCCCGTATAAACTCTTCACACAGGATGTATATGGGTAGAGGTTTGCGCTAGCCCTGGGGAGTGGCCAGGGATCCAGAAAAACCACTCCCGTCCTTGGAGTCTACACTGCCAATCTGGCAGAGAAATAACTGGCTCTCCATTTGTGTGTGTATTTCACGTGTGTACACGTGTGTTCAGGATGGTGGTACACAGCTACAATCCCAGCACTATTATAGGGAAACAAGACTCACTAGAAGCTCACAGTCCAGCTAGCCTGGTGTATGTAGTGATGAACAAGAGACCCTGCCTCAAACACAGTGAGAGGCCAGGAGCAGCCCCCAGACTCAGGAGTGCCTGAGCAGGAGGCACCGAGTTGGTGCTAGGCAACCAAGTTTTATGTTTCAACCTCTGAGTTCTTTAACAATCTTGTATATGTGGCTGCCCTAAATTTCTCCTTTCCACATTTTTTAAGGGTCGCTTTCAGTGTTGGTTCCACCCCCTCTTGTCATTTCCTCCACCTGCCTCACCCAGTGGACCTGAAACAGGCCTGTTAAAGGTGTAAGAATTACACCGCTGCCTGTAAACCTTTACTACTTCTATTGGAGCATCACTAGCTGGGGCCACAAAGCCCTAGAGAACGGGGCTACAAATCCAATTAGTTTCTGCCACAGCCAAACAAAGACAGGCGATTTGCCTGAGTGGGACAAGCAGGCCAGGCAGCTAACCAGGGCTATACAAGGTTTAGAATTCAGCCTGTGTGGGAGCTTGTGCCAGCA